TGCAGGCTTGAGATGGCTAAGGCTTCTGGTTGTTATTTAGATAATGAAATTCAGTCAACTCAGAAGCTGTAATGAAACAAATGGTTGTTAGATATCATAATGGGTTCTGAATCAGTTCTGTGTTGGCTAATACTATTTAGTTGTAAACCTAACTGTTTTGTCCTTTAGCTTTTGGAAATGAGATTCGTACTAATCACAATGTGGCCTTTTCTTCAGCCCATATCATATATCTTCATTTTGGTTTTTTACACCAATATCTAGGTGTTAGCCAGCTGGCCTTTGGTATTTTGAACTGAGTTATTCTCATGCAATAGTTTTGATTGATGATTTAACCATTTATGAGTTGAGATTCAGTATTTCAATAGCCTTGTATGAAATGATTGAAGCTTACTCTTGCTTCATCTGAAAGACATAACCTTGCTCATGATCTCTTCAGGACACATGAATTTATTTTAGCTATTCTTGTATAATAATCAACCTATGCAATACATGCGTAATTTACCGATTCGACGTGGGACGGTAAATGGAATATATTTTGATTTAATATATTACATAATAAACTTATTAAATAATTATTTTTTATCAAAAATTAAATGTTGACAAATTTAATTTAAAGATGTAATCATGTATATAAAATATAAAAATTAACTATATTGATTATAATTATATTATATTTTTAATCACTGAATCAGATAAATGTCAAAAAAATATTAAATTGAGTGTGTACCACTAATTTTCTTTTTGTATGATTGAACCAAAACCACTATTCCTTAAATTAGCATCTTTCTTTTTTTAATGCAGTAACGTCGTATCATAAACTATCCTCTTTTTTTTTTTTATATCTTGATTACATAAAAAGGCAACCATCTTACATCCCTTATCTTACCCCAATCACATGCTATGTAATTCAAATTCAGGATCTCTTATTTTCAATAAAAAGAGATAATCATTAAATTATTCAAGTAATTAGCTATCATAAAGTATCCTAGATGTCCCTAAGAGTTATGAATTTAAATTTCTTCATAGTAGAACCCACCTCACTCAAAAGTGGTTGGTGGGAAATTTATATGTCGGTTTCCATGACCTGTCACGAGCGGATTGGTCCACTGTGGTCGGTCTTTGCCATCCTGTAGAAACACATTTTGAAGTAATGGGATGATTGAAAGGCTAATACAAAAGGGAGAGCAGGAGGCATGATTAATCCCATAAGATGGTCTTTGTCTGGGCAAATTTCCAATATTCATTGTTGAAGACAGCCACATCCACACGGACCACACCCATTAGCCACAGCTAATTAAACTGTGTGGCTCACAATTAATCTTCCTTTTAACCAATTAATTTTAATTGCTTTCAAAGCTTTGATTAGCTGTTCTCACATGGCTCAGCTCTTTCCAGCTACTGATTAATCATGTCTTAATCACTTGACTCTTCCTCTGCTTTATTTTCCTTCCTCCACTTGGAAACAAAAATGAACTCTATTTAATCGCTAATATTGGAATGTAACTCTGTTGTTCTGGTCACTTTTCAATAGTATTGTCATGGTTTTCGAAAGGATCTTATATGCAACTCTCTCTTACATGAAATTACTGTTCAAAATACCATTTGCTTTGTCTCATGGTACTTATCCTATTTTGACCTTGAATATCGATTAAAGAAATTAATTGAATATTGTAGTCCAATCTTTTCATGTGAGTTGTAACATAATGATAAGTAAGAATCAAAATCATCCATGAGACACTAATTAATGGCCAAAAAAATGGTGTTACTAAGATTGGTAAAGAATCCAAACAACTTTAGCTCAAAATGTGGAATGAGTTATGATTATGGAGAAGTAGAGATTAATAGGTAAGGCTGGGATCAATGCCTTGTTCTAATCAAGTTTTTTATGTGTGGCTAATACTGTTTTGTAATGATTTAATTAGGAAAATGTCAGATTTATGCGCCATTCATGCATGTCTACAACTCCTTTCTGTCCCTTACTTTCCACTTTTCCGTGTGGAGTTACCTACACCATTAATTTGTCCTATCATCGCTTGATTATTTGTATAAATCGTTTGTTTTTTATTTTCATTTTTTTTATGGGAAATCTTCAATTTATTAGCACTGCATATAAGTTAATTAATCTGATAAGTCGCTAATAAGTAATGTTTTGCTACTGCTAGTTGGGGCTGATTTTCTGCTATGGCTTAAGTATTATGAAGTTGGGATCAAATGAGGTTAATTAATTAACAAGTAATGCGGCTTATGTACTGAAAAGGAAAAATATAATGTTGTCATACACTCTGTTCTTCATTTCGGTGAGATACCATATATAATAATATATCAATTATAATTGAGGAATTAGACAGTTAAGAAAAGTATTGAACTCAACGTGAAAAACTCACATGTCAATTTTAGCAAGAAATAACACATACAAAGAAAGGAGTCATGTCAGTTTTGCAAGCTTTGCACCCTTTTGCATGCTTTCCAGGGAGAATTGATTCAAATATTATTATGATTCAACTCCGGCCAAAGATCAGCTCTAATCCAAGAATAGGATCGATCCATATTTGATCAACTCGACAGCTTTTTCATTGGAGTCCACCGCTTCCTTAAAATACCTTTGGACGTTCCTCCACGGCTACAAAGACCAAACTGTTGCAAATCACACCACAAACCATGCTTCCTTTGTAAATCTTACATAAATCAAACCAATTTGTTGCTGGAGAAGCTTCCACCCTTTGTCTTGAGGTACCACTTTTAGGCCCCACCATTCATAGCAAGAGGCCTAAATTAACCATGCATTTTTGCAATTTGAACAGCTGATGATTTGAATTCTAGAAGTTGTACGTAATCTCAGCTTCACCAAGCACTCCTCTTTTGAAAGATCAACTAAATCTCATGTACAAGTTTTCTCAAGAGCTTGTGATTCATCTTGTATAACTTGTTGCCAAAGAGGGTTAGAAGAGGCCTCTTGATAGGATTGAGGCTCATGTAAGCAAGTAATAGTAGGAAAACAATGATAATCACGAAGATAGCTAGGAGGATTTCTTACTCGAGTAGATCGACTTGAAGGTGGATTAAGGATCTCATTTTCAAGATCAATATCAACAGGGTTGGATCCAACAGGTGATATAAAAGAGGTAAGGGAAGAAGACTCAACGTTGTCTAATGCATTACCAACAGGTAGAGCATGTGGAGAGGCATCATAGAGCTCATCAAATGTATCTGCATCAAAGTCACTAGGAAATAGCTCAATAGAAGGGTTAGTAAAAAGTGGAGGTCGATTAAAAGATGACACTCGAAAGTTTGATAACGAGGAAAACATAGTGTGCTCCTAAAAGACAACATGACGTGAGACTCGAAGTTTTCGTAACACAAGATCTCAACAGTAATATCCTTTATGTGTAATCCCATAACCCAAAAAACATCATAATTGAGTTTTAAGCTCTAACTTGTTATGTTCATGAGGTGGAAGAAGAACAAAACAAGCACAACCAAAAACCTTAAAACCTTAAGAAGATTATAGGCAAGAGGAATACCATGTAAACATTCATATGGAGACTTATTATTGATGATTGATGATGGAATTTGATTAATGCGATAAACAGCTATAAGAGTAGCTTCACCACTTTAGACAAGAGTACAAAATGAGCAGAGCACAAATTAAATCAAAGATGTGTCTGTGTTTACATTCGACTCTCTCATTCTATTCATAAGTGTAAGGATAAGATTGTTGTGTTAGTGTACCCTATTCTTTTAGAAATGATTGAAGTTTAGTCTTAAGATATTCAGTGGTATTGTCAGTTCTCAAAACTTTGATAATTTTAGAGAATTAGGTTTTGACCATGGTAGCAAAATCAATATAAATTTGTGGTAACTCAGAGTGATTTTTCATAAGATTTATCTAGGTAAAACGAGTATAAACATCAATAAATAACACAAAGTACTTGGAAACCCCCATGGTAGGCGTCGAAGATGGACCCCAAACATCAAAATGCACAAAATCAAAAGAAGCAGTAGAAAAAGAATGACTACTAAAAATAGATAAAGATGGTTGTTTTGTAGATTGACATGACACATAATGCAAGGATTCATTTGAAACATATCCTAATAAACCACGAGAGATAAGAGGACGGAATTTACGAACTGAGGTGTGTTCGAGTTGTGAGTGCCATAAATGAAAAGGAGAAATGTTAGTAGCAGCACAAGCTTAGAAGATTTGTTGATATGAAATTTACAAAAACTCTAATTCAATAGCACAAAGTAGGGTTTGGATGAATCGGTCATTTGGAAATGATGGTGTATCCATTTTATGATGAGGAATTTGTAGATAATTGAGCTCAAACATACGCCCTACCTTGTGACTAGTTCCAAGAAGTTGTCCTATCTGTGGGTCCTGCACACGACAACCATGAGCAGAAAATGTTACTTCAAGATTACGATCACATAATTGACCAACAGATAAAAGATTATAACTAAGTTTTGGAACTAAGAAAGCATTTGGTAAAGTTAATGAATTTGTAGAAATATTGCCAATGTGACTAACATTCATAAGGGAGCCATCAACAAAATGAATGCCAAGAAAGGAATTATTTGGTGACATTGAAAAGAAATGAGCAGTAATTGAAGACATGTGATTACAACAATCAGAATAAAAATAACAAGGCTTAGTACTTGGACTAGTAGATAAGGTAATAGAAGTATTAAAAAGATTTAATATCACATGTTTTAGAGATTCAGGTTGACAATAGGTTGATCTATTGCCTCTTTGGCAACCATCGCAGTAATAGGATGAGTCACAATTCTTTCAAAACTTGTCACAGAATCAATAGAACTCACAATACTGAAAAAAATCTTTAAAAAAATGAAGAAATAGATGTTAAAATCAAAATAACAACTCAACAAAATGCCTTAGAAAATGCTTGAGAATTGAGAATAAACAATCCAATTTGTAGAAGAGGAGAACCCAATAACAAAGTTTCAGATCTAGAATAGATCTAAAAATTCAACTCAAAAACCAAGCAATGATGATAAAAAGAAGAAGAACCTGGAGCTTATAGTTCTGATACCATGTTTGAAACAAAAAAGAAGGTGAAGAAAGGTTTATTATTTTTTTGAATAATATTGTATGTACAATTAGCTATATATAAATATTTACAAAAAAAATATTCTAAAGTATAATATATATAAAGAGAATATTTTAAAGTATGAAATATTTACAATATATAAGTGTGACTATGATCTAAAGTATTGTGTTCAAATTTTAACATATCCTAACAAAGGGAATTAGGTCCATATATAGAAACTCATGAAACAAGACCCAACAATACATATACTTTAACAGTATCTTAAATTTAAAGGCAAAACCCCTAAATCTATCCCTCAAATAGGAGAATAAGAACAAATCTATCCCTAAAAAAATATATAGAGATAAATTGTCCCTTCAAATTATCGATCAAGATAAATCAACTATTATTTAATGTGTAACGTCATCACACATTAGTTTTATGTTAAAAAATACCTAAGTGACAAATGGATTTTTTATATGTAATGATGTCATATATTAAATAATAAGTGATTTGTTTTAATCGATAATTTAAAAATACAATTAATCTCTATATTTTTTAAGATAATTTTGTGCTTACCCATTTATTTGAGGAACGAAGTTGGGGATTCAGCCAAATTTAAAAGGTTAATATATTCATGGGTTTTCCCATATAGATTTAATGAGTTATTCATGAAATTAAAGAAAGAGGACGTAAGCGCAGGAAGGGTGAGGAAAAGAGAAAAGAAAATGAGTGTGGGCCTCACATGCAAAATATATTTAATTGAATAGAAAATAGTTTAGGAATAATTTTTTTTATCATTTTTTGAGATAATTTATTATTATTTTTTAATATAATTTTATGTATTATTTAAATAATTTATTTATTTATTTATTTAAAATTCATAATATTAAATATATTTATTTATTTAATAATATATAAAAATTATATTAAAAATTATATAAAAAAATTATCCTTATATTAATACCTTAACCTTATATATGTACCATGTCAGCATGCGCATTTCTTTTTATTTGTTTAATTCATTTTGCCACATTTAAAAAATAAAAGAGCCATGTAATAAAAATAAAAGGGTATCCAAGTCATTAAAAACTGCCAAGTAAGCAAAAAAGCGAAGGAGGGTAACGTGAACTTTAAAGCAAGTGACATTTTCTATTAAATGTTGGGCAAAAAATGTTGGTTTTAAAAAGTAGTAGAAGGGATTTAGAAGGGGTTTACCAAAGAAAAAAATGAAAAAAAGTAAGTTGACCAAAAGAAAATATTTTAAAAGGTGTTGATTGTGAAAATAAATAATATTAAGAATGTAAATAAGGAATCTGACATATATATTTTATACTTTAATCATATTATATTACCACTTAATTTTAATTTTTTATCTTATCATCATCAAATTTTTTTTTTTTTCATTAAGTACAAATATGTTGGATCACATGCAAAGGATGTACGCATATTAACCCCTAACCAGCATGCATGTGGACATGTGGTGATTAGCATTGATAGTTTGGTCAGCATCTATTGCATTAACCTTTGATTATCTTTTTGATTATGACATTAATTAATCTTGATTAATTATCGATAAACTTCTGTTTATCTTAGAACTCCTCTATAAAAACCCAGGCCAGCAACCTCTGTTTCTCATTATCCTCATATCTTTCCTTCACATGACCTTCCCTCTCTCTTCTCTTCCTCTTCTTCTTTTATTTCTCTTTCACGATAGTAGGGGGATATGGATAAAAAACCACGCAATTCCCAGGATGCTGATTCGAGAAAAGGACCATGGACCATGGAAGAAGACTTGATTCTCATCAACTACATCGCAAATCATGGCGAAGGTGTTTGGAACTCTCTTGCTAAAGCTGCAGGTATGATATTTAGTTCAGGTTGCCAATAATAATGAAACTCAACACACAATAATATATAGAGAATGCTCACTTCAGTTTTCTGTAGTATATCTACCACTTACTATTTGAAGATATTTTGTTCTAGGGCTGAAACGTACTGGGAAGAGTTGCCGTCTCCGTTGGTTGAACTATTTGCGTCCCGACGTCCGAAGAGGCAACATCACACAAGATGAACAGCTCCTGATCATGGAACTGCATGCTAAGTGGGGAAACAGGTGATGACTTTAAATTTATAATGCGTACTAAACACAAAATGTCGTGCATATTAATATAATTAATGAGAAAAGTTAATAAACATGTAAAATAACTATGATTGATGAGGTATATATAGATCAACTCTTAAATCTCTGTTCTTCAAAAAAGCAAAGACCCGTAAACCTTAGCTTCATAGAGTCTTCTTCGTGTAAGAAAATCAGACACTTTTAATGTGATGAGAGAAAGTTTAGAAACATGGCTTGTGTTATTCACCACCACCAAAATGATTGATTTTCAACTCATGCGGTTTATCAAAGTAACTTTTGGCTAACCTAAAAACTCAAGTTCTCTATATCAACCCTTTCTTCAAATTCTTCATGCCCACAAAAAATTCCTCGTGCTCTCAATCTCTCTGGCTAGCTACACGGCAAAGAACAAGTTAACTTGCTTTTAATATATGTGGAAATTAAAGAGAATACATAGTAGCATATAGGAGAGTTTTGCTTTAAAATGTTCATCTTTTTCCATCTGTTTTCGTTCTTCATTAATGTCAAATGGTTTTTTAGATATTTTATTTACAGGTGTTTTTTTTTTTTTTGGTCAAAAGTCTGTGTATATGTATAAATATATCTATGTTATTCCCGAAAAAAGAATACAAGATATTTTTTTATGCATGAAATATCTTTTCTAATTAAGTACCTTAGTTAATTTTCCTGGAAAATATAGTGATTTCCAAACCAACATGGCACGTTGTGTCCATTGGCTTGATTGCTAATTCTTCCTAGCAGATATGCCTAACAATTAGGTACACTGCAAACGCTGTGTTTGATTCTATATATGGCGTAAGGTTCATGTAGTATACAATAGATATGAACACCATGAATTTTCTCATTAATTTATTTTTAAAAATAAAAAAATGTCGTATAGTTTGATTGGATGTAAATTACACCATTATAACTATTAATAAGAGAGAACCCCTTAATATTAGGTATTCCTCTTCAAAATCAATGATTAATTTGTTAAGTTAGACTACAAAATAATATTCTCTTTTAAAAATTCTTAAAAGCCAATAAATCCAACACACACAAAAAACAAATAAAACCTAACATTAGGTCAAATTTATGGGTTACTAAATAAAGGGTCATAAAATATCTACACTTTATCAATTGTTTTAGTGGTGTCACAAAAATATCTACACAGCTAGCTTAAATGATAAATGTTTCCATTTTTAGATGAACCCATTTTTTCAACCGGGCACATATCAACCCTCACCCTTCTCTTTTGGGAAAGAAGACAAGCATTTGGTCTTCTTGTATTGATAACCTAAGTCAGATTGTTGTCTTCGTGCTTTATGCTGCTGTCTCCACAGAATTTTGGGAGCCTTTTTCCACATGAATTTTAACATGTGATGGAAATCAAGTGTTTTCTTGTTCTTTAGGTCACCATGATCACCGTATTTATCTCATTAAAGAATAGACTGGATCTTGAAAGATTTTAGGTTCAATTGTATTAGTACTTTGTATGATTATTTGTAAATCCTTTTTTATTGAATTTAGAATAAATAGTGTTCAACAATCTTTCCATTTTAAGGATATTTGAATTTGCCTTTAGATAAACTTATGGAACATGGGTATGAATTGGTCTTTGTTTATAGTTATAATTAACAAAAGTGAAAATTCAGACAACTCCCAATCAAAGGTTGGAGAAACCTGCGGAGGCAGAGTAAACCTCAGAAACAGGGGAATCACATAGTCATAAGCAGAACAGAACATAAAAATGAAATTAAGATTGATCTCTTCTTTCATTTTCTTAACTCCTCCTACTTAGAAGGTGTTTGGGAGAGCTTATTATTGTGAAATTTAGGTGGTCCAAGATTGCGAAGCATCTACCAGGGAGGACGGATAATGAGATAAAGAACTACTGGAGGACTAGAATCCAGAAGCATACTAAGCAAGCAGAGAATAATTATTCTGCTCCACAAACAAATCCCGAGGTGCCAGAGCAAGCGAGCACCAACCAGGTCTGTACCGTAAGTGCTGCTGATCTAATGGAGACTTGCTTTCCACTGTCATTCCAGTGCAACATGATGGGGACTTTTCCAGAGCAATTGCCCATGGAATCAAATGAGCAAAGTTATTGGAGCATTGAGGAACTCTGGTCCATGCCATTGCTTAATGTCGACTAAATATTATGAGGGTAATCCCAATAAAAGAAAAATCCAAATTCTGAATTTGGATTAATATTATCTATTGGTTTGTTAATTGATAATTGGGGCTTAAACTTGGAAAAATTATTATATTATATGTTGTAATGGCAAGAACTTCTCATTATTAATTTGGTTGGTTTGCTATGGCTTTTGGTTGTGTGTTAAATTATCTATTTATAGGAGTGTTTGCCTAAGGGATGTTAAGTCTAAGAATAAATAAGAGTGTTTGAATTATAAATAATAATATTTATTTATGTTAAATATCAATAATTATTAATTATTTGTGATATTTAAATAGTTAGTATAAACACACCATATTTTTTTTTCATGAACATAAAATGTGGAATGGTGTTTGTGCATCTCATGAACATGAAAAGCATATATGGAGAGCCATTCATACCTATACCATACATTACCTAACAGACACAATAGAAAACAGGCTTAGAGGGGCATGC